ATATATATATATATATATATATATATATATATATATATATATATATGAATGTTTTCGATGTAACGTAGCTTTTATTCGGATTAGGTCTTGAAAAATTAAATTCACCATTTTTGCGATACGTCCTGCTTCGGCTACCCTTTCTTGAAGGGTCATCACTTCCTCTTCCTCTGTAGGATACAAGGGCAACTGCTTCGAAATTAACTGCTCGATTCTTTGATACAGTTCGACGTCATATTGCGTTACGAATGTAATGGACCGACCAGAACGGCCAGCTCGTGCAGTACGACCGACTCTGTGTATATAGTCCTTGCTATGCGTGGGTATATCGAAATTTATTACGATATCAACGTGAGGAATATCAAGACCCCTATAAGTAAAAGTTTACATGAAAACGCTGTAATAAATACATGAATTCAAGACANTTCGCATTGAATTTTCGTAGGCGACTTCCACTTGAGATCTTCGCATGCTTTGCATAATACATTTACAAGTCCCTATAAACAAATATATTAATGTAATAAATTTGATACTTATGAATAATAATTATACCTTCCAAGCTAACGGTTATTATACTTTTACTCTGAAAATTGAAATACCATCACTTATACTTTGTTTATATATTATTTTCAACATTGACATCATAACTCTAAGTTTTTTCACGTTTAGGAAGACTTTCACAAGAATAGTTTTGTTACAGTTATATGCAATACAAAATATTTATATTTAAAAATCGTACAATAGTTTTATTATGCAATTTAGGACACAGACTCTATTTAGGTTATAGTTTTCCCTAATACATTGTTCAACTTACCAAATCCTTCCAAACTACTTTCTCAACATTTTCTTCGTCCATGATTTAATCACTAACTTATTAAAGGTGTTAACCGAAAATTACACTCGACGAAATAGACACACGTGAACACGAAATATGTATACTGCAAACTGGTATTCACTCATTTCTGGAGTGAATAATGACGAACATTCCTGCTTGCAGGAATTTTAGGTCTTGAAAATGACCTAAACGTTTCAAATAGTGAAACCCAGGAGGTTATTGTTGCTTTTATGGTTCCGAGCGGAAAAGATAGAAAGTTGGGCATCGGTTGGGCCCATCAGGGGCTGTAATTCTGAAGTTTGGATCGCGCCTTTGATGAAGTTTGGACCGCCCCATCTTGTGCAAACCGTTATTGCTCGCTCCGTGGGCCGAGATTAGGGGTTCTAAATCGCCTGGCCCAATGGGCCCGAAGCCGAAAAGGTCTAGCAGGTAACAACGTTCGGACAAAAATAATTTTCAGTGGTATCGGGTAATCCTCTTATTCCTTGTACACTTACTTTCTCTTCCAAGAACTTATATTTTTCATAGCATTATTTCATAGCATACAAGTTGAGAAGTTTCAACATCGGCTTCGGTTCCTGAAAAAGTTACGAACAATCGAAATGATCTCGTAACTGTTATAAGCTACGGTAAGTCGCAGGAGTACTCGCGCCCTTTTTACACTTTAAACGATTGTTATTTCCTAACGATGAAAGTTGCGATATTCTTACGAAGGGGACTGCATACCAGAATATCTAAACTTTCAAATTGATATAAACTTTATTATAACGAAATTCGCTTCGCAAAGGTATTCGGTACGGTATGAATTCTTTACGTATAAAATCAAGATATTTACATATTCGGATGGCCTTGGTGCGATATCTTGTTCAGGCATTACATTGTTCCTAAATATCGTAGCGAAATTTCGATAGCTGAGAGAAAGGTAATTTATAAATTACATACGGACGGTAAATCTTATTCGCAAATTGCGAATTTATTTAATCAGAGCAAATCAACAGTTTTGTATTACATACAGTTGTATTTAATACAAAATATTAAATTAACACTAAACCAACCGAGCAGTAATGACGATTATTATTCATTTGGATTTTGTAAAGTTTTAATTATGAGATTTTCTCCAATAATGTAATTTATTCGATCATTTCTCACGAAAAAGTCTCCAAAGTTTGTAGTATCGTAAAATAAAAAATCGGTCATTTTGACCGTGGTAGGTTTAGTGTTAACTGGGAACGTTACAAATAAACAACGCGAAGGAGATACGAGAAAAAAACGAATTATCAAAGAAACAAAGAAAAATACAAGTATAAGTGCACCAAAGTCGACAACATTTGTTTGAACACGCGTTTCGTGCGCTGTGTCGGTTACATATGGGTGACACTAATTTTGAAAATTCAACCTATCGACGAAGAAACGTTGGCAAGATCGAGTTTATTTCTCTTTCGGACACATCGGCCGAGTACGTTGAGGTGTTACAAGCTCCCGCTTACCCAGTGCGACAAGCTGGGACCACGATCTTGAATCCGTAACTCCACGTTCATACATATACAATCGTATTTAACCAAAACTTGTAATATACTATCTTTTACCAGTTTATTTTGCTTACAAAATTCAATCATTCCATTTCCCGATTCGAAGCAGTAGTTGGTACAAACCCACGAAGATATACCTTTACCGCTCATTTCTTCTTGTGAAAGTTACGAGGCATCCAAACTTCAATTTCCACGAATCCTATCCTGATTATCACGGGTGGCCACTCGTGCTGAAAGAAGCATCGGCTGGTCCACGCAATTTCCCTTACAGAAGAAATCCCAATCGCATGAAACCTCCAGCCACGCGAAGCTGCCTGGCCCTCGGCTCGTAACACCCCAAAGCTTGCTATGGGCTAAAGTGGAAAAGAGATTGCGAAATTTTGAAATAGTAAACAAAGAAACGCTAAAACAAAAGATTATGGAAATTTGAAGTAATATCGAGTCAATATTAGTTTAGAGTATGCCTAATCGTTTACAAAGTATTATAAGATCCAATCGAATACTAGTTGTTTTAACATTGTTAAATTTGTTATAACATAATCGTAATATTGTATCGCGTAGTAAAATTATAACAACGACCAGAACATGAGTCCGTGGTGTGTAGTCGACGCAATTGTGCGAAGGAAATGAGATCAAGTTTGACTGATTGCGGACAGCGGTTGAAGAGAGGTGGAGAGGAACAGGGAATGCAGATAGGACAGTTCAAGAACCGAATCTACGGATCGGTAACTGGATACACTGGAACGAACTGAGCGCGAGATTTAATGAAAGAAGTACAATAGTTTGGAAGGAGGATTATTCTCTCGATGGTATTTCTGTTGAATAAGAAAACAGCGTCGATTAAGATTGCTTTCAAAAATAAACATTTATTTCAAAATTAATGCTTACAGTTGTATCCTAAAATCTAAGATCTATTCTATACACAGACTGTGTTTAGGTGTTCTTAAGAGACCTCTTAAGACTTCATTGCATTATTAAGTTGTATACACGTTCTGTTCTGTATTCCCTACTTTGTTTCCTTGCGTAGTACGTCAGCAGCAAAAATTCGGCCGGTTGATTTTCTTCAGATTTACAATTGTCACCTTGCACTCTCACACACACGCGCACATATGTTGCAGTCGAATGGCAGTTACCAGAATACATTCGGTCTGGTATCTCTCTCTCTCTCTCTCTTTCTCTCTCTCACTAATGATTCGAATCTCGGACCACGTCTCTCACTGTCCTATGTCTCTTGATAAAGTTTAAAATGGTAGTACCGCTAACTGGTGATATCACATTTATGGTTCGGAGTATGTACTGTCTGGTCGGTTCGATGAGGAAGAAAAAATAACGCGACACAGACCTAGACAGTTTCCTTCGCAGATTGTACCAGTTCTCCAAACGAGGTTTCCAAGCATTGCCGTAACTCGGCGTAGCTTACTACCAATACACTTTGTCCATCTCGCGACGTCAAACATATCTAGAAACGTAGACAAACAGAGAAATATAGATAAATATCTAGAGATATAGGAATATGGATGATGTATGTGTATAGAAATTATCAGAAAAAGCTACTTTATAATAACGAATATAAACATGCATTTTAATGCAACGACATCCGTTTAATAATATTCACGATTGATTTTTCTACACAATATCATCTCTTTCGCGAAATAAATGTTGCAAGTAGCATATATATATAGGGAGATTTTGTAAGAGAAAGATAATTTTGAATGAAACATACTTTGTCCTGAGATCCTGAATCCAACTTATTTAAACAATATACAACGTGTGCCATGTCCAGCCATGGTCTTCCATCGGCCAGTACCTGGTGGAACACGTAGTCCCTAAACAATTTGAGCATGTATCGGTCACCCGTTTCTGCCCATGTCGGTTCCATATTAAGCTCGGGTCTTTCGTTGATGGTGGCCAGTTTCACGATCAATTTGAATAACCTGCCGTTCTCGAGCTCTTTGGCAAGCTCATCTTCCATCTCGTCGGATCGCAGTAGAGCGGCGTCCAATTGCGTATAAAATCGGGCTCCGATCATTGGCATGAGATCCGTCACGCTCCTTCGTGTTTGATTGGAAAGTAGATACCTGAACGATTATACATAAAAATTTAGCACACGCGGCAAACAAATCAATTTGTTGATACGAAAAGACTATATTCTGTTATACGAACAATATAAGATTCCGTAAATCCGTGGAATAGGTACGTGCGACGAGTTCGAGAGAGGCTTGCATGTTGTCGCGATGGACGGCAAGGAGGCTGCGACACGCTAAAGCCAACACCAATTTCCCTAGGGCAATTAGATCCTCTTGCTGGTAATGTGGAATTAGCGAGAGTGGTGTGGCAGCGTTCCCGTCGAATGTGACCACGTCTGGTATAGCGGCGCAGCTTAAACGAAGTCTTGTCCGCGACGTGAGCAACACTTTTGTTGGGTCTAAACATCTGTAAGCCAAACCTGTGAGCAAAATTTCATCGGTTAGTGGTTGAACAGAGAGTATCGAGTCGATCTAAGGGCGGGATAACCACTTTATAGTTGTACAAACCAGCAGCGTGTATAACTCGAACGGCGGCGGTCAATTGAATTATGTAGCTCCAGATTACACTCTCTGGTAACATACTACTTTGTTGTTGTCTGAGGATCGTGTTCTTCGTGTGACTGTATGGCCGAGGCGCGTTTGGATCCGACGAGAACGGATCCGTGTAGCCATTTAATTCGGTCGCCGAGAAATCCTTGTTCAGTAATGTTTCGGAGCCAGGATGATAGTCGTAGACAAATACCATGGCTGAAATTACGAGAATTATATAAGATTATATAAGAACGCGTAGCATGATTTTTAACTCTGCAACGGGGTACATTGGACGGGGCACACGATTTTCGCTACTACAAAATAATTACAATCGACTTTTATAATTCTGAGCTACACACACGACAATATCTGAACGCATTTTGGGAAAATGTTCCAGAATTTATAGAGAAGACAGTGTGCTTTTGCAGGATCGATGCATTAATACATACAATGATCGCCGAAGGCCTTGGTAGTGAAAACTTCTCTCAACTGTACCAAATTGGTATGCGATAATCGTTTCCACATATCTACCAGCACCATACACTTTGTGTTGGCAAGTCTGAAATCTGAGAAATAAAATGCTTACTTAAATATCGTTCGTCGGAGGCATTTCGTTCGATCGATCGATTTGCGAGAAAAATCTGTGAAAACTTACCGTGTATGCGACGCAAACAGTATCTTGTACCACTTTTGATGCTCGTAGCTTTGTACGTTGAAGTTTGGTACCCAAGCATGGTTGAGGCAGGTTTATGAATCGGTTCTAGCGGACACAATTCATGGTAATTGTCTACCTCGTCTGGTAAGTCGGGGAACTGTGCAATGTCGGGTTGTGCTAACGTTAACGCATTCTTTTGAAGAATGTCCATTCGTAAGCTCTCACTGATAAAGAAACTAGGCGTTGCCTGAGGCGGCGGAGTCGACGGAGCTGACGAGTTATTGGACGATGGAGGTTTCGCTGGTTTCACAGGTTGCAGATGCGAGGGCGTGCCCGGATAGACGTATCCTATCTGACTTGTTCCTGCAGTTCCAATCTGCCGGAAGAAATTTCTCTTAGTTCGCCAAAGATTGGAACAAAAGGTGTATAAAATCAAAGCTTTCCTTACAGTTTCAGTTCCTTCCTCCGTTCCCACAGACTCGCTGGCAGCATTCCCAAGGTAAAAATAAGTCGTACCACCCACATTTTCTTGAGAATGATAAGAATTATTGAAAAGATTCGGAGAGCTGCTGCTGCTGCTGTTATTAAGACACCTTCCTGGTACAAATTCTGGACTAGCAGTTACCTTTTTCTGCGAATCCAAAGTAAGGCCCGCCAAATGTTTTGTAAGTGCGGGGGTATTTAGAACTACTCCTTGACTGTGTCGATTCTATCGAACAAATAATGAGAATACTATAAACAAACGTGTACAGGATTCTTAAATATGGTAAGATAGCAGCAAAGTTTTAAAGTGGGCAAATTTATGAATAGAAGCACGTCGTAGTTAGTCTTCCATATAAATATACATCAAAAGATGAAAATTTTTNTATGGTAAGATAGCAGCAAAGTTTTAAAGTGGGCAAATTTATGAATAGAAGCACGTCGTAGTTAGTCTTCCATATAAATATACATCAAAAGATGAAAATTTTTACTAAAGTTTGGCTCTCATTGAATAAATTGCAGAAGAACGTAAATTACCATGTAGGTAGCAAGTTTGGACTCTAGTGGAACGCCATTTGTATGAGGATTATACGCAACAAACATTGATGGGTCCATCCCTCCTTCGACCACTGCATTTAGCGCGATCACACCAAATTCGCGCGTTTTCTCTGTTTATTTAGTCCCAGGTAGGAAACTCGATCTTCTAAATCCTGATTAACGATAGTCTCGAATCGCCGCTTCTTAGGTCTCTTATCCTAAGATGTACGACTCGATAATAGTCACCGGAACCTGTAACATATGAAAACAGAAAATTATTTTGAATACATTATCGATATAATATAATCTAATATTATCAGGGTAAATTTTTCGAAGCGAAATTCAAATAATTGTATATAATTATGCTACATCTAAATAATTAAATTAATATTATAATACTGTACTTAACATTTTCATGTAAAAAAATAACTAAGAACATGGATAATGTAAATGTTTATGCAAATTATGAAGATGAACTATCGCGCCGTATCGGAAAAAAATAAAAAAAAGAAAGTAAAACTTCGGTAGAATGTACCGCTTATTCTGCGGGAAGAGACGAATACAACGTCTATGTACTACGACTATGCGACTCTCTAAATACAGAGAATAAGAGAAACCGTAGAAGTTGAATGAAATTTCAGCAGTGGCGGGCCGCGGTTCGGTGGAAAAACTAAGTAAAGTAACTAAGCAGAACGAAAAGAAAAGTCACAAGCAAGCTAGTGGAATGGCACGCTATAGCAATGGCAGCTGATTTTGACAATACAGCCACAAAAGACGCACAAGACATAACCTTGGCTACAGGTTACTGGAAACCGAGTAGCGAATTTAAATGAAACCTAAGTTGTTTCAGTTTTTGTAATATCTGGCACATCTTTGACACCTTGCATTCGGAACATTTCATCCATTAGATTTCTGCCCTTGATCAGGTTATTTAGCTATTTTTCACTATATCGAAAAACGAGCCTTGAGCTCGTTGAAGTCAAAAGCCCGTTCACCAAGTATTTATAGTGGCATACGTAGACTAAGCTACTGTTCTACACACCTTGTCAATTCATGAAGTCTTGATTTCATTCGTTTTTCAGCAGTCGTGATCGCAACATATTGTATTCATCGAATGGCGATTCGTGATAATCACTGTGCATATGTATTTATGAATTATCGAAAAATAAAGGAGAAAGAGAGTGAATAATAGAAGGAGCGAGTGAAAGAGACAGAGCTATATTGTACGAATTTATTTATTATAAAATCTCGATATTACCAAAAACTGAAACATTTTTAATGGGAAACAAAAGAAAAAGAAAATATCATTTTCAGTAATTTCGTATCCATATACATATACATATACATGTATATTAACTTACCTGTTCGATCTCCAAATGTTTCTCATTAAATCTTAACAAGGCAGTATCAACATTTGGAATAGATAATTTCAGACAAAAGGTCTTTGCTCCAGAGATTGAAATGATTG